ATTATAAGGAACGGATGGCAACCCTAGGAATGGGTGTATTACAAGATAGCAATTACAGATGCACGTATGTATAAATATCAGTTCAAAAGTAGTGCTTTATTTAGCCCATCAGTTAATTCCTCGCTTCCCTGCAAAACCTTGAGACGGTTCTCGTTTTTTTTTTTTTTTTTAACTGGTTCAACTGATTCAATGAAAAGATTCGACTCATTAGAACAAAAAATATGTTCACGATTCGGACAACTCTTTCTGATTGAACAACAAATAGTGTTGAAAACATGGCTGAGGAGACAGTGTTAGCGGGCACGGGGTAAGTGTGACCCTCTAAACACACAATTACATACAAAACCCCTCAGGATGAAAATGGTGTGAATTCCAGTATATTTTCGTTGTTACGGTTGTTTCAGTTAGTTGTATTCTTTTTAGTTTGCACCATGTAAGCGAACTGTTTGTGTAACGTTACTACAGTAAGTGTTGATCAATAAAACCTAATAGGTTGTTTGTTGTTAATGTATTCTGTCTTACTTGTCTTAATTGCTACAATTGTCTGTCTTAATTCTTCTTTTAGAAATATATACTTTAATTTAACAAATATCTAACTAAATAATCAATTGCCTGTATTCATTCAATATAATTATTGTGTCTTTGATTGACAGCTCTTTCACATTCTCTTGGCTTTAGACTGGCACAGCGTGTACTGATGTTACTCGGTATTCGTAGTCTCTTCTACAATGTTTTCTGTTTCTTGGACAAGACATTGAGGTAAAATGTGTCTAAATGTAATTCATACTCTAACTACTAAGTGCCATTATCATTTACAGTACCAGCAGCATGGTTTGGTCACTTTAAAGTGTTTATGTTATTACATAAGAACAATGTAATCCTAATAAACAACATATAGGTCAACAACCTATAACAACATATACTTAATGTGAACCAATATTCTAAATCAAATCTACCAAATCTATTCCCTTCTGCTTATAGAAAACTATTCGACTGTGCTATAGGTATTTTTCTGTGTTTCTCTGTGTCTTTTTCCTCTGCTGGCCTAATAGTGTTTTTGGTAGCAGTTTTGGTCAGTGTGTCTTTTCTCAGGAGGGTCATTCCATGTTAAATCAACCAAATTTCAGAAACTTCCCCGGCTCAAATTTTTAATTTTGCTAATATTTTTTCTGAAGAAAGATAAACATGTATAAGTGAGGAGAGCTAAAATATTAAATGTCACAGATATATTTACTGAGTAATCCACTATTTTGTAGAGGGGTGTCAAAATGACAATTTTCACCTGAGATTCAGAGCCAAATTTTAGGGGGGTGAAAATGACTTCAGAAAGATGGCAGCATCATAATGTTATTTTTACACAATTAGTAAAATATTTTGACTTTAGCCATCTTTGTTTGTATTATGTGCAATATTATATGGAGTTTTTTCTCCAAAGTTTGTAACTCCAGAAGTATTAAAGATATCTTAATGCCCTTTTAGATATTGGGTCTTAACAAGCTTACCTTTTGGTATCATAATTTTTAAGGCTGTATATATGGTTCAATTCCAGAGATATTGGAATTTCAATATGTCTCCAGTAGGGATGCACGATATTATCGGACCAATATCGGAATCGGCCGATGATGGCTTTAAATGTAATGTAACGATTACCGGTTTGATGATAAATCATGATAAAATTCCCCACGGTTAGTATTACCGTTTCATCTTTTAATTATCATTAAAACCGTATTAGATTACCGCGATAAATAAATAAATACTGTCCAGCATAAAGCACAGTTTTAAGTAACAGTCTCACGTGCACACAGCATGCAGAGTAGTTTCGTTTTGAGTGAAAACAGGGCGGAAAAGCTGGGTAATACCTAAAGGAAGTGTTCTTAATCGCAATACTGCTTTGTCCACGTAGGTTACGGGAAACCGCTCTAATTCAGCTTTGCCATAAGCGCCACTTGCTGTCAGCGAGTGGATTTACAGAGACCTATATTTACATTCAGCCCCTAAATGTAAATATCGGCATCGGCCCGATATGAAAAATTATGCCGACATGTCTTGCCGATAAGAGGAATACATTAACTCAGCATTGTGGCTAATTCTTGAAGCAAAGTTTTGCCTGAATGGTGATTGGATTCACTGTTTTGGATCGCCATATTTAAACTGAGAATGCACTTACAGAATGACGCATTCGGTGTATGATAGAGTAAATGGTAATAGCACGTGCAGCGGCAGCAGCGGCATCCTCTCCCGGGTCCTAATGCCCACTCAGTAAGGAGCATTAATTCCGTAGGGGGCGATGTTGGCCTACTTCTAATAAAATGAAAGCAAAATACACAAATAATATTTAGACTGTGTTTCTGATTAAATAAAGCAGTAATTGATGCCATAAAATCAAGAGTATGTTTTGATTTAAAGGTCAGAAGCTATAGCTTAAAGTAAAAAAATCACAAACATGACACTTAAATTAAATAATTGTATATATACTGATTTATTTAATATGTGTAATCATGTGTAATGTAATATCATGTGTTATATTTTTAAAATAATTTATGAGCTCTAAAAGATTTTCAGAATTTTTACAACTCTTTTGCTTTAGACCATTTACAAATGTTAAATCATAAAATATAATGTTAAGGTTACCACTGCATCTTTCTGAAAAAAATGCAGTGATTAATATATAGTTTATTTATAGTTATTTTCAAATCTTCAATGTACTGTCATTATAAAAGAACTTCATTATTGTTTATTTAATTCTAACAAATAAGTTCTTGTTAAAACTAACCAAAATTAAAAATAATTATATATCGGTATCGGCATCGGCTGTCGGCCAAAATGAGTTGAAAATTATATTATACTTATTATAAGTATAATATTGGGCATATTGGACATCGGCAAAAATCCAATATCGTGCATCCCTAGTCTCCAGGAGTAAATTGTTAAATTGTACATATTTTTAATGTTAATCTGAAGAACAAATAAAGTTGAAACTAGAAATGTATTTGTTTCCTTCTGTCAAAACAACTGCATTAAACATACCTGAACATACAGTGGGTACGGAAAGTATTCAGACCCCCTTAAATTTTTCACTCTTTGTTATATTGCAGCCATTTGCTAAAATCATTTAAGTTAATTTTTTTTCCTCATTAATGTACACACAGCACCCCATATTGACAGAAAAACACAGAATTGTTGACATTTTTGCAGATTTATTAAAAAAGAAAAACTGAAATATCACATGGTCCTAAGTATTCAGACCCCTGTGTGTACATTAATGAGGAAAAAAAATTAACTTAAATGATTCTAGCAAATGGCTGCAATATAACAAAGAGTGAAAAATTTAAGGGGGTCTGAATACTTTCCGTACCCACTGTACATGGAGGTGCACTGAGATCCCGATATCTCTGGGATTAAACCATACAGGGCCTTAAAAATTATGATGATTTTTATGAAGATTTAAAAAAAATTTTTTTTATGAAGATAAAAATAACATTATGATGCTGCCATTTTTCTTAAGTCATTTTTACCCCCCTAAAAATTTGGCTCTGAATCTCAGGTGAAAATTGTCACTTTGACCCCCCCTCTGCAAAATAGTGGATTACTCCATAAATATACATCTGTGACATTTAATATTTTGGCTTTCATCACTATACATGTTTATCTTTCTTCAGAAAAAATATTAGCAAAATCAAAAATTTGAGCTGGGGACCTTAAATTGACATGGAATGACCCATGGGTGTTTTTATTCCACAGGTACTTAAAAAACTGTTCAGTTTTGTTCAGGGTGATTAATGAAGTATATTACCTCAAAATAAATGTGATAGTTTAGATTCTCCTTAACTATTTAAATCAGCAACATTTTTTAAAGATTCAGTGACAGATCCAAATCAATTTGTCATTACTCGTGAATCAGTCATTGCTCATGTCCTTGATAACCTCATGCTTTAGGGCAGTTTAACAGTGCATAGCAGCTGTTGTTTAAGAAAGTACTGGTTTGTTTTTTCTCTTTAGCTTTGGGAAATAAAGCCCCATTGTACCCTATACTCAGTTTGATTATTTTGTGGAAATGTGCATAATTAAACACTGTCTTTGTCATTGGTAATATATTTATATATATATTTATATATACTTATAATATAATCATTTTATTAACATGCAAGATGTGTAACATGGACATAGACTTGTGCCGGTATTCGGTAATGCGATATATCACGTAATGAATATGCACAATATTGATATCGAGGGCACTTCTAAATACCGTGAATAATTATATATTACAAATGATTTGCATTTTAAGAATACTTTTCCCATCAACTGGTCAAAATGCACAACACCGCTGTATGCTGCCTGAAAGACGCGTGCGCACTCTGATGTAAATAAGTGCGGACGAGAAGCACATGGCGGAACATGGGAGAGACGCTCTGGATGAAAGCGCACTTTCACTCTCTGATGCAGATGACGCTAAAGTGCAGAAATAATAATAATAATAATAATAATTCATTTAAATGCAGCCGTTACTCCAGAAACCCTGTAAACAAAGCAGCTTCACTACTTTCTGTTTCTGAATCGTGTTTAAATTATTTAAACAGCCATTCGCTGTGTAAGTAGATTTTAATCTGTGCCTCCTTAGTATGTCCTGTATGTATGTATGTATTTATTTATTATTTAAAGTACAAACGTTTACAGCCGTGTCGTTTTAGTAAAATAAGAATGAGAGGCTGACATTTAATTTTACTGTAGATCATGGTGGATCACTGGCTGGCTGCCCTCCTGGTGCCCGACATCTCAGAGCCAACTGAAAGAGGCAGAAGAGAAGATGCTGCAGTGTGAGTAACCACCATTGTATCCTTTGTTTGTATCAAATTATAAAGTCAAATTTGGCTGGCCTCTCAAAATTTAAATGGTTAGATATAGCAAATTGTCTCTAAAGTTATATTATCCACATAATTGATGACAATCAATATATATTGATATAGCCTTCAATTTAGTTTTGTTGTTACAGTTAAAAATAATGTAAGTTATATACAGTCTACAATACCATTCAAAATTCTGGCTTTTTTTTTTAAAGATTTTATAATGTTTTTAAAAGAAGTCTTCAGCAAGACTGCATTTATTTAATCAAAAATACAGTAAAACATTAATATTGTAAAATATTGTAACAATATAAATAACTGTTTTCTATTTTACAATATTTTAAAATGTGGTTTATTTCTATGAATTTTCTTCAGCCATTACTGTAGTCTTCAGTGTTACATGATCCTTCAGAAATCATGCTCAAGGAACATGCTCAAGGAACATTTATTATTATCTTCAATGTTAAAAAACTGTCATGGAACGCTGTGTAGTATAGTCCCAATAATGCATGAAGCAGAAATTATGGCAACAAACTAGAAACAAGGAACAGGGAACACAGAACAGAACAGAAATATTTTGACGTTACAAAAGCAATATTTTTATTTTATTTTTGTATCCTTTTTTTTTGACGGTTACAAACACAATATTTTGTCAAACATTTTTGTGGAAGCCATGACAGATTTTTTTTTTCAGGAGTCTTTAATGAATAGAAAGTTCAAAAGAACAGCATTTATTTGAAATATTTTGTTTCTAACATTATAAACCAATTGATAAATTGCATCCTTGCTATTAATAATAGTATTAATTTATTTATTTTTTAAATCGTACTGATCCCAAACTTTTGAAAGGTAGTGAATATGTATTTGGGCCTTGTGGGAGCAATACTATAAAACTGTATTTTCTTATAATTTTACCTGTAATAAAATCTGCAAAATTCTTAGCCTATTTTAATTATATTGGTAAAAAAAAAACAATATATATATTTAAAAAAATAGACATATATACATATGTGTGTGTGTGTGTGTGTGTTTGTGTGTAAGTGAAAGATAAAATACTAAATGTATTAGTTTAATAAGTTGGTGTGTTTTTTTTTAAATTTTGGCTCTCTGTAAAGAAGAAACTTATTGCTTCCCTTTCTTTTCCTTTTATTCCTATCAGACATCACAAGCAAGTTCTGCAGGCAGTTTGTCCACATATCTGACAAAAACTTACTTTGGACATTGATATTTAAGGGGCCAAGAGAAAATAAGACCCCTCTGGTGCTGCTGCATGGATTTGGGGGTGGTGTGGGACTCTGGGCACTGAACCTGGACTCTCTCTCTCAGCAGAGGTCCGTTTATGCCTTCGACCTGCTGGGATTTGGCCAGAGCAGCAGACATCACTTCAATACGGATTCACAGGAGGCTGAACTCCAGTTTGTGGAGTCCATTGAGCAGTGGAGGGAGAAACTGGGTCTGGAAAGTATGATTATGTTAGGCCATAACTTAGGAGGATATGTGGCTACATCCCACGAAATCACATGCCCAACCAGGCTTGTAACTAAAGAGAAAAAAGAGCACAGCTTCAATGAAATATATTTATTATGATCCTAAATAAATACTTAAAATGTGCAAGCACATTTCAACAATAAAGTACTTTTGATTAATTAACAAAAAGTCACAGATGTCATTTTCATTAATGAAAGGTTGTTGCATCTTTAATGGGGTGAATTTAGAGCATAGTGTAAACAAATTGTTCTTTCCTCTATGGTCCATAAAATTAAGTTAACATGTTAAATATAGTAATATGAATTTTGACATGTGGCATTCTACACATTAATATTATCTAATGTTTTTGTCCTTTGCGATTTGAATGTTTTTGCATAATCCATACTGAAAACTGAAATACATTATTGAAAACTAAACATAAAGCCATTATGTGTATTTTCCCCCCATTGTAGTTCTATTTCCATAAATTTTAATTCAAACATTTACAGTCCTGTATCCTGTGTCCTACCTCAATTCAAATTTAAATTTAAATCAGCCCTTTGATGAATAGAAACTCATTTCTGTGTTCTGTTGTAATTGTGCACTCAGGATGCAAACCACTTTTCTTCACATCCTTCCTGTTTCCCCATATCCCACAACCTTTATGTCTGTCAGCAGTTTGACCTCAGAATTTGATTCGAAACTATTTTTGTAAGCATCAGATTTCAACAGCATTAGAATTGCTGTTTCCCTGAGTGTAGTTTTGCTTCTGTCCTATCCACTATCTATCCATTTTTTTAAATAAAAATGCACAGATAACTACCAAAAAAAAAAAACGAATCAATTTTTGGTAGGTGTATCTAGTTGTAACTGTTGTGGTAGGTGAAACTGTGATCCAATTGAAAATATGCCACAGACTTATTACAGTATGTCCTTCTTTTTACCCACTGTCCAGAGTAAAGCACCTGCTTCTGGTGGAACCGTGGGGTTTTCCAGAGCGTCCTGACTCAGGAGACCAAGATAGACCCATTCCTGTGTGGATCAAAGCTATAGGGGCAATGCTGAGCCCATTCAACCCTCTCGCTGGTCTCAGATTGGCTGGGCCTTTAGGTAAGATTTACTCTAATCTGAGAGTGCAAATCAAATGTAATAAACATATTAATGAGAGAAAGAGAAATGATAGCTTAAGGCTGAGGATGTGCTTGTATATCTTAAATGATGTGGAATAGCATTTGATAAAGACTGTCATTAATGAAAACCCAGGGACAGATTTAGCCAAGATGTGTGCTTGCAATTTCACTGAAATTATTCCCTTAGTAATTGGAGCATGTCTCTTATCATACCTCATACCTGTCTCATATCTCATACCTTAATTACATTGCTTTCTGTGTGTATGCTGCAGTAAAATTGTTTTGCAAGAACAAATTGGCTTTGGCAATAACCCTAGAATATTCTAGGATCTGAATATTTGTGTTCTGAAGTTCATAGATTAATATTAATGATGATGTCCCAATCATATGTTATCAAGCTATGTCCAGCTTGACGTTTGTCTTCAGTTTGAATTTGTATTATTTTTTTTTTTGCTCAAATGGTAGCTCGGTAAATTTGCTGGCAAATATTCAGTATTTCTCAAGTCTCAAGTCTATTTGTATGGCACTTTTCACAGTACAAACTTTTTCAAAGCAACTTTACAGAAAATCATGATGTTATTGTTAATTTCTTTATATCTTCATGCCTTATAGTCTCATTTAGCAGATTAGAGCTGGGTGATTATTTTTTGCGATGATACAAGCAATCAAGCAGCCGAGATGTGCTATATAGTATTTATCACCCTATCACCACGAGTATACTGTATGAATGTGGATAAAATTGGACATACTTATATATCCAACTTTATATTAATACATATTTGCAATGATATAAACAATCATGCAGCTGAGATATACTATTTAGTAAATATCTCATTACTTGAGTATACTGTATGAATGCAGGTACGATGTACTATACGTCCAACTTTTAATATATTGCTGGGCGTTAGTATAGTTATATAATGTAGTTATATAATTCAATTTTTCTTACAATATAATAATCAAGCAGATGAGATTTGCTATATAGTACATACCGCTGTGTACATAACAGTTAGGGGAACAATTAGTACATAAGTGTGTTGTATTATAGTCTTATAATTCGTTCTGCTGTTTAGAATTAGGTAGTTGTGTAGATTATCAGCAGTTCAAATTAATATAATGTAAATTACGTTTGTACAATGATTGGTTGATAAAGCAAGGGAGACTAGCCACCTTTGGATTTTTTTCCCCCTTATTCTCTCTTTGCACTCTAGATGCAGAGAAAGTAAAATACTCTGGTGATTGGCCTTTTTTTTTTTTTAACCAAAGGAGGCAGAATCTCTGGCTATGGATTGTGCCTCCCCCTCCTCTTCTCCATCTCATCAGATTTGCCAAATTGTAATTGCATTGGCAGTAATTGCATCAACATTACAAACAAGAAATGCACATTCTGAAGACATAAAATGAATAATTGGGAAATTTATTAACATTAAATTGTTCTTCCATTTTCCACCTCAAATTTTGAGAAGGCTGTGCCCTCCACCACCTCCCCTGACAAGCCACCAGTGGTTATGTGTAGAACTTTGTGAGTGATGGACGTCCAATTTTGTGGAAATCTGCAGAGCTTTCTGATGAGTTCTGTAAGATTCTGAATGGAGCTGGACATTAGTTACTGACTATGGGAGAACATGTGACACATGAAGTGAAGAATTGATGATAAGATTAACATTTTATAGGTGATCCATCATTTTTGGGTAGATCGATTTCAGGTGGATTTTCAATTTTTAGTTTTTACAGATGTGCGTTTACATTGTTCTGTAGGTCCCACTCTTGTGCAGACTCTGAGACCAGACTTCAAAAAGAAATTTGCAGCTATATTTAATGACAACAGAGTGACAGAATATATTTACCATCTTAATGTCCAAAGTCCAAGGTACCAAATCTATCTATCTATCTATCTATCTATCTATCTATCTTTATTATGCTTTTGTTGTGAATGGTCTTGTACAAGATATACATGTGTTAATGTTGAAAGGCTCATAATGGTCTGTACTTTATGATTCTAAATTTTTAGAGGTGAAACAGCCTTTAAAAACATGACCATTCCGTATGGCTGGGCAAAGATGCCCATGCTGCAGAGAATTGGCCTGATTCACAGCGACATCCCCATTACGGTGATCTATGGCTCACGCTCCAGCATAGATGGCCACTCCGGCAATTCAATCAAAGAAATGAGGCCAAACTCCCATGTAGAGATCATTGTGAGTTCTCCATTCACTGCTCAACACACACTGTCACTCATAGAGACTTTTGCATTGCCTTAAAGATGTCATATTTCCTTGATCGTTTGAGATAACAGTTTGAGGTATTATGGAAATATGCTGTAACTTTGCAACATCACACAGATGAATGCATTTATGAATGCATTTATATGATAGTGTTTTAGTGCCATGTTAAATAAAAAAATAATAATAATAATTAACAAAAAAGATTAAGAGATTAAAGTTGTAATATTTTGAGAAAAAGTCAAAATTACGAGAAAAAAATCTAAATATTTTGAGAATAAAGTAAAAATTACAAGAATAAAATGGAAATATTTTGAGAATAAAGTCGAAAATTTGCTAAAGTAAAAATTACGAGGATAAAGTCAAAATATTTTGAGAATAAAGTTAAAATTACGAGATTAAAGTTTGTATATTTTGAGAGTATATATTGCGCATGCGAATGGCCCGGATTGGGAGCACCGGGAGAAATTCCGGTGCCCTGGCAACTAGGGCTGTGAATCTTTGGGTAGACAGTGAATCGATTCGATTCACGATTCATAGGTTTTCAATTCGATTCAAGAACGATTTTTGCAAATTAAGAATGATTCGATTCGATTCACAATTAAATTCGATTCGATTCGATTATAACGATTCGATTCTGCATTCTTTAAGTGCATTCACAGGATTATTTAAATGCTTCCCCTAAATTCTATAAATGCTTAGTCGGGGCAAATTACACAGCAGCCTTTATGGTTACAGAACCATAGGTTAGAGGGAAAAAAAACAAACACTTTTGTCCATTGTTAGATGCTAGTTTAATGATGCTATGGCATGACATGGCATATGTAGACATTTATGTAAGCCAAGACTTTAAAAAAAGAGTTTTAAAAAGTATTGCGTATAGGCTAACATTTTGTCACACCAGGGGCCTAGCCATCATTTCAGAAGTGACAGAAATGTCAAAAACAATAATTTTATGTAGGCCTATGAATTTATTATGTATATGCTGTATATATATGTATACAGTATATATATATTATTATTTTTTTTTATTTTTTTTTTTACAAGGAATTATTTTCTTATCTTACTTTGAATTTGCTATAAGAAATCAAATACACTGCTGGACAATAATCAATCATTTGTAATCTATAATTTTTTCCTAATGGCAATTTTATGATTGTTTTATATACTACAAACAATTATTTCAATTTTCTGCACAGAATTAGGTAGACAATATACTTTATAGTTTCTGTACTGTGATAAATGATATGTCAATTAACACTGCATCATTCATAAATTGTATTTATTTATTGTGTTTATTGTCTTAACGTTTCACCAGTTAATTCTGCTTTTTATTCAGCTTAGCTGCAGATATAGCCTGGCACGTCTTAAGTTCTTTGAGCGCAAGATCACTTCTCTTGCAGTGCAAAACTTATTTATCTCATTTTCATAAAATAAAATGCTATAGTATTTAAGTTAACTTTTCCTCTCCATCGGCGAATGATGATTCTGAAAGAAAACGCGCCCGAAGTCTGTTTGCTATAGCAACGAACGCTACTTTAATGCATCTGGTTATCAGATAAACCTTGTGCTCTTATTTCAAGGTTGTTGTTAATGCTGTGGTCATTTTAGCAGTTTCCTTCGTACATTCGGTTGAAGGACATTGTTAAAACACATTTATCATTCAGTGGAACTGTGCGTATGCTTTAGACACTTACATTTTTGCTCCGTCCATACAATAAATGCGCAGCCTTCGACTGCTCAGGTAATGACGTCGTCGGTATGACCGAGAGCCATTGAAAAACTACAGAAAAGTAAAACTACTTCACATTAGCATTACTGGCCACGAGTAGGCTACTAAGGAGAGATCACACATCAGCTTCTCAAAAAATGTGTGAGACGAACGGAGCACGAGCGCAATCTTGTGCATGCAGGCGGTAAAATAGTGGAGCGCATGAAGGAGAGATGCGAGGGCACGAACACTGTTCAATTCGTGCTTGTAGTAATTTAATGTGTATATATTTTGAAAGCATTGAATCGCTATAGAAATCGCGATTCATTCGATGATGCTATGGCATGACATGGCATATGTAGACATTTATGTAAGCCAAGACTTTAAAAAAAGAGTTTTAAAAAGTATTGCGTATAGGCTAACATTTTGTCACACCAGGGGCCTAGCCATCATTTCAGAAGTGACAGAAATGTCAAAAACAATAATTTTATGTAGGCCTATGAATTTATTATGTATATGCTGTATATATATGTATACAGTATATATATATTATTATTTTTTTTTTTTTTTTTTTTTTACAAGGAATTATTTTCTTATCTT